AGACATTGCTAGTTTACCAAGCCCCCGCCTAATTAAGACACACCTTTCTTATGAGGCTATACCGAAAGGTGTAAACGAGGAAACGACGTGCAAGTATATTTACATCGCTCGAAATCCAAAAGATAATGCTGTATCAAATTATAAATTCCTGACAAGCTTGGGGAAAAATACTGGATTGAATGCATCGTGGGAATTTTATGCCAATCTATTTGTTCAGGGAAAATGTAAGTTATATAATTATCTTCACATGTGAAAATGTCACCATTGCTATGGCTTCATAATAAACCGCACCTTTCAGACCAAAAAACTATTTAAGTAAAATGGTTTGGCATTTCACTGGTGTTTATATAATAAATAGAACATTACATGGTCGCTTAGAGATACGAAATTTCTCTTCTCTTGTTGTCGCTGCGCTCTGTCTTGAAATATTCTTCAACACTCGAAGAGAAATTTCGTATCTCCGCGCGGCCATGTACTATTCTCTATACATTTTCTGCATACGATGATGATATTTCTCTCTTTCTTCGTAAATTTAATGGTAAGCGGTTTAAGATTGTTAAAGTCGTGTTTTTCGTAGAGATCTTCAAGAGTTTAAATCTTGGACGTCAGGAGCCCATGACTAGTGTAGTCATGGGCTCGTGTGGACGTTAAAAAAATGTTTGTTTTCGTCTTAGTTTGTGGTAACACGTGTCAAAACACGTCAGTCGAGGTTGTACTGTACATGTAGAGTTGACCCAGGTGATGGGTATTTGTCTCATACACATGCAGTAATTAAAGTCATATTAGGGCATATTCGGAAATGTTCTATTTGGCAAAAAGTACAACTGCCCAAAATTCAGCCCAAATGAAAATTTATTATGTTTAATTGGTCTGCTGCAAGTGCATTGAAAACGTAAGGATTGGCGTACTGAAAATTAATAGAATGTTCGAGTAATCTTGCTATGATACCTTAGAAAACTCTGAAGGGAAGAACGAATGTAATGCCTAGGAGTCTGATTTCATTGTGAGGTAACCCAGCGAGGGTGGGTTCAGTCTGTGCTGAACAACAGGAGCCTATTTTACTGACGGGCGTCTGCGGTAGCATCGCTATATTGTGAGATGAAGAAGGTGATGCATATTTTCCTTACGGGGCGTTGGTCTGCAGATTGAACCTTGGGCGCGGCTTAGCACGTAAGATTCAAATTTGAATTCTCATTTGTTGCCCCAATTCATTTCCTACAGAAGTAGTGGGCAGAAGTTGATAAAATATCAAGCAAATTCATCTTGTGTGATCATTTCCGTAATTCTTATGCCCACTCTGTTTTACAAAGCATTGATATTACAAGGAGAATTTTGATGCTGATCACTCTTAGGGCTTAAAGGGTTAATGTCTAAACTGGTTATGATGCTTCTTAAGGTAGCTGAGACAAGTAGTGTTAGAGGCATGGCAAAAAACCTTCATGACTTACTAGTCTTTATCAACCTACACAATTGTTATTCTTTGCAGCAACCTGGAGTCACTGGGATAAACATGTACTTGGATGGTGGAAACACAAAGACGAGGCTAACGTTTTGTTCCTTAAATATGAAGACTTGAAACAGGTTTGTTATCATTGTCGGAGAATTACCGGTAAAGTCGTTTTCAGTTTTTTGAAATTAATTCTGTTACATTAATTTGCTGTGCGTTGATTAATGCTTAGTGGTGGGTAGAAAACAGAATTAATTAAGCAATTATTAAATGAGGCTGGGTATCATCTGAAGAATTATGGAGATTGAGGAAGGTACGGATAACACCCTCCTGGTTTAAAAACAAGCTAAAACAGGCTTATCTCCATCGATGTTAAGTTCATCTTCGATAGTGCATGTTTATCGGCAAGTTTAGGAGATAAAGGGTTGTTCAGTTTTGTAAATATTTGCAATATTTTATGTCGCCCGTCGAGTTGTCTTCTTGCTGTTTTTGCTACGTTTTTAGCGAATAGTTTGCTTTTTTTCTTCCTCGTGAAACGAGTGAAATGTTCATTCATTTTGTATTCACTACCGAAACAGCTCATCCTCGTCCCCAGGTCTTCTCGGGTAACCGTTCAATCACCTGGCAATTTTGCTGCACGATTGACGTCATCAGTTCACATTTCGTAAAATTCTTCCAAATTTGGTCGACAGTACCTGGTTATGATGAATTATGCGTGGAAGTTTAGCCAACCAGAAACGGAGAAATATTTTGAATGAATAATAATATGCTTTATACAGAGGAGAAGTGCGACGTGACATTACCATGGAAAAGCATGGGCTATCCAGTTTTGCTCCCGAGTGCAATCATGGGCATGAAAGTCATTCAAATTATTCAAATCAATTGCGATATTTGTAACAATACGGTTTATAGAGATCGAGAAATTTTGCTAACATGGCAACGTGACGTAACGACTTCTCTTGTGACCCTCTGTATCACATGTTGTTTTTAGCATAACCATGCTTGAAACAAACCTCTGATATTTAATGTTATATTGTAAAGTAGCTCTGTCTTTGACCTGTTATGTTTCAGTTAGTGATTGGCAAAATTGTTATTTTAGGAAGCCTTTTTCTTTTAAGTCCTGTGATTTCCTTGAGCGTCCTCGCCATTTGGTCATCGTTTGTTATGTACTAGGATGTATACGAAAAAAATTAACTTGGCACTTGAAACTTATTTTGTTTTATTAGTTTCACATCAGAACTAAACATGAGAGGAGGCCTGATTGACAAGTAGCCTCAAACTCAGACGTTCTTTTGGCTAGTCACGCAATCCTACCTTGGTATTCTGCGCTAAGCGTCGATGGAATAGCCTCCGACGCCGACGTTCTTTGTGCAGGGAAGTAACGCGTGACGAAGCGCAAAGAACGTCTGCGTGGGAGGCTAGCATTGGCCGGGACAACGCACCAAAATTCTGAAGATTCAAAGTCTGACTTCCCCATCTTCTCTACCAGTTTTCAAGCCCCTTTACCCCTTTGTTTCTTCTCCTTAGGATCTTCTAAGCCATGTTCGTATGATCTCCCAATTCCTGAACAAGCCCTTGTCAGATGAACTCCTAAATCGCATCTCAGAGCAGTGTACATTCAATGGAATGATGAAAAACGCGAAAAGTTACCTTCTGCGTGGAACAGAGGATGGACCAAAGCTTCTGCGAAAGGGCGTGGTGGGAGACTGGAAGAATTACTTTACTCCAGAGCAAAGTGAGAGATTTGACAAGGAATTGTTAGCAAAATTAGACGGGACTGGATTAGAGTTTGAAATGTAGCAAGCTTGTTTTCATTAAATATATTCGAAATTACAGCAGAGGTCTCTTAACACTTTGGGGAGACTGCGAAAGGATTCCTTTGCTCCAGAGCCAATAAGAGATTTGATAAGGACGGCTGTACTTGAATTTGAGAACTGAAGCTGATATAATTTTTGCCAGATTGCATCAAACTTCGGAAAGAATCTGCCAACCACTTTAATGAAATAAAAAGGATGTATCGTGGACACTTTGCCCACTTTGGTCTGGAATCGGGTATGGTTTTCGAGGGAACTACGGGAGTATATGAACGTATTTATCGTTTCAATTCCAAATAAGTAACAAAGAAAGAGAATTCGAACTGGATTTGATTTGTTTTGTTTGCGCTCTAAGCTAAGCCAATGATAACATAATTTGTGCCTAAAGGACAGGTCTGAAAACGGATATGGAAAATGATCGAAATTTTTTGGTCTGACATAACGTCAGGATTTGGAGAACCGGGCGGCACTGACCCCCACCAGGAATTCCCAGGAGTACCCTCCCCCCGGGGGGGAATGGATTAAACATATTTTTCCGTTTTTGTTTTTGCATTGAATAAATATTTCAGCCGGTGATTGGACTGAATAAATATTTTAGTGATCGGATTGAATGAAAATTTAGTCATGAATAAATTGAACTGATAAAGATAGGATCAAAATTAAAAGCTTTTTTGAAAATTCAAATTAAATGGCATTATGCATAAAAGATTGGATTGAATAAATTTGCTATGGGGCAGTGTAAAATGAAGACTGCGGAATGCCTGCTGACTATTGTCTTTAGGGTTAGAAAACAATGGGACTATTGTTGTCAAGTACTCATAACCCACTTAATATTAATTTTGTTTTTATGTTTTATAGAGGGCCAGAAGTTTATCAGTTTTTTCATAACTGTCACGTGTTTACCCTCTTTAAATAAAGGCGTTACCTTACCTTACCTTACCTTACCTTACTACGGAAATGAGTGGTAGCCTGGGACCAAACTAAGCGCGCGCGCGTTTATGGGATCGTCTGGGGGGACAGAAAACCCCGAGCAGCCACCTGGAGGTAATGCTGGGACATGCTACTTGCTGTGTACCTTTGTGCCCAAATAATTCCAAGAACTCCCATGGTATGGCATTTTATCGAATACCCAAGGCAAGACGTACACGGCGAGAATATGTACGTTTGCTTCGGAAGGATAATTTGAATTTGAACTCCGCTAGCACACGGATTTGCTCTACCCATTGGGATGGTGGTGAAAAGAGCAGTAGAACTCATCTGCAGTCTATCTTGCTTTCCTTGGAGTAAAAAAAACGTGAAGGACGAATTCTATACAGGTCAGAGGCAACTTCGAATTCAAGAGCCAGGAAAAGAAACACTGACATTTCTTGTGCCGAAATGGACGTTGAGGCTGACTCAGTAAATGAAGGGTGTGTTCCTTTCGGCGAATCCAAAAACGGATTTTTGATCCTAGATTTGCCAGATTTCGCGGTCGAAAGGAACGTGAAATCCGAAATTGGATTTGTAACCTTGGTAACCTTTCGCCAACGCGTGCAATATGCACGACAGCCTCTCAAAAAATGACGTGTTTTCTACTCTTTGACAAATTATGCGATTATAGCGTGCGAATTTAGTGGTCGGCTGTTCGAATAGCGATGATGGAACATATAAAACAAACAAAGAAAGAAGCGCATTAAAATTGAAAATTGTCTAAAGAATGTCGGCCAGTTTGATCCAGTTCCATTGCTCGGATTTTTTTATGTAACACGATCGAGTGCCTGTCGCGTCTACAAGCGAGTTTGTAGTTAGATAGCAGTCCATATATAGAAACAACCGTTGCACTGTGTTTAATACCCGGTTGCGGTTCATGAGGGTTGAACTGGGGCCCCTAATTTGCATTCCAAGAAAAGAGGTCTTACATTAGTATTTGCCAAACATTTTTAAGGAGCTGTACCCAAGGACTGTGCTTATCATTGATGCTGTTGAAATTCGGGCTGACAGTCCGTCATCACTCAGATATGCAGTCAGCTTGCTATTCGTCTTACAAGGGCACAACGACTATGAAAGCGGTAAAATAGGCACATTCTCTTCCTTTAGCTTCACATTTTCATGTTGTTTTCTTTCATCGCCACCTTCCCTTTGGCTGTTTTGACCTGTTTTAACCGGGTTTTCGAGTCCTCCCAAACGATCCCATAAACGCACGCGCGCTTAGTTTGGTCCCAGGCTATAACTCATTTCCGAAGTGGGCTATTTGCACGGTGAAAAATAATAGTCCGCTGTCTGCGTTACACTGACCGATTTTCTATAAACGGCTTGCCACAATCATGGCGAACTTTCCGATCTTGCAAGAAATAGAGGGTGAATGGAGATCAAGTAAAACGGTGGATAATGGGTTTAAGAATTCCTACGTATTTTACTGACAATCCCCAGGTACTGTACGACTACATTGTCAACTTCAAGACGAGATCAGACGACGTGTTTGTATAGTCAGCTATCCAAAATCAGGTAAAAGATTGTCGTTATTTTAATAGTTGTTGCTGTTTTATCGCAGTTAGCCCATGGTGTGGTAAAAATATAATTAGGAGATCGCTAAATAGCGCAATACACCTTGTAGGTTATAAATACAGCATTCATTATGACTCGCCCCACTTTTAACAGCTTTAGTCCTTCTCCCACGACTTTATTTCATGTGCTCATCCCCACGGCCTTGAAATGGTGTTGTGACCAGTCTTGGGCTAGGAGTGACTTGATTATAGAGTTCAAAGCTACTCAAAGTTTAAACCCAGTACTGACACTTGACCTCAAACTAGTAGTTAAAGGGAAAGGATGAACCAGTAATGGGTCGGTGGTCAGTTCGGGACTCTCTTTTTCTCGGTTTCGTTATTTATTGATGTAAGACTGTAGATTAAATTCTCCTCTAACTTGCCCCTCTTTTTTGTTTGTTTGTTTGTTTGTTTGTTTGTTTGTTATTTTTTTATCAAATTCAAAGTATTATTTTTGGTATTCCTAGTACCGGAATGAGCTTCCTCGCGCGTCCAGTTGTAAGGCCTCACACGTAACGCTTTCTTCCCGTTTCAGTGCGAACGTTTGCGTGATGAGCCAAAGGAATGTGTAAAAATCAGAAAGGTTTATGCTAGTCCGTAATCTGCTTCTCTTGTTTTTGCCTGTGTAGAGCAGAGCTGTGTAGCCGACTTTTTGTACCTGGTCCTTAACTTCAAGTCTGTGTTTTATATCCAGTCCTCGATTTGTAAAAAGACCGCATTCCGCAATCCGCAGTCCACACTCCATGTTTCAAAATGACCGGCTATGTAGCCTGCGAGCAAGCTCTCCCGTTTGGGCGAGTGAAAAGGGTCTCGCGGCTACCGGCTATGCTATAAATTCTTTGTCAAAAAGTAGAAGTCTCAGGACCTCTCCTCGAAATAGAGACTCCTGTAGTTTTATTTTTGTGCACAATTAATTCTTTGCATTTTGAGGGATCGTTTGGTTACGGGAGGTTCGACTGTCATTGCGACCTTGGTCTGATTTCAAGGAGCGTAAAAGACAATAATATTCCCCTGAGTAATTTCATATTTCCTACACTGAGAGAACAAAACAAACAGCCATCTGCTTCACGAATTGGCCCATGCTCAAAATTCACCCCATGCTCAAAATTATGCCCTGCTTCATCTTCAAGTATTTGGGAGTCAAAGCAACCATGAGGGCGAAGACAGCAATAGTTCTTCGTAGTTTGAAAAATGCGCGTATAACCCTCGCATCTGCCCATTGAATTTTTCACTGTCTGTATTACATTAAAGCTTGAAAACAATAAAACACTCCTAGGGGTAAATGCGATGGCAATATGCGTGAATGCTGCAAAAAATCACCCTATCAAAGCAACAACAACTTGGCACGAACAGCACAGTTCTGATACATTCCCCTCGGCCGTCACTGCACGCGGGCTACGACCTCGGCCAATTTCGGCGCCGATTTTCTTTTTTCCTTTTCTAAACTTGCAAACCCTCCTTAAGAATTAATTCTGTTTGACAAATCGAACGAGGTGTAATTACAAGCTCCATATTATGCTCTGACTACAATGACGTTTCTCCCTTCAAATCCTATCAATTGCAAATTTACATTCCTTCACAGCAATGGTGTCGCCAGGGTTTTTTTTCCAGAGGTACCCACAATTTTCTAAATCCCTCAGTTCTCCTTCAGTCGTGTAAAAATCCCGGCCTGATTGCCTTCTGTTTTCTTTTGAGTATCGTGGGGTTATACAAGAATGGATGGAATGGCAAATCGGTCGAAATCTTTGTTCCTTTTATACCCTGCAGCTGCGAGCAGAGGTTTCTCTTGGATGTAAGCTTCGAAGTCGTTCGTGTGGCTTGTCTGTCGCGTAGGTTCGATCATCAAGTCGAAGTGCATCACTTTAATCGCCGAAAAAACAGCAATAATTCATTAATTCGAGATCAAAAATCCAAAAAACACATCGCAAGCGGATATAAAAAGCTAATTCATGCCTTTAAACGCGGGGCTGTACAATTTTTAGTGGCAAAAAACCTTGCCGTAAATCACTTACCGCTGGAAGCCCTTCCTCAGGTTAAAACGTAAACTGCAAACTGCAAACGTGACTGCAAGGCCGTGGTCACGTGACATTTTGCGGTTTCCCAAGAAAAACCTGATGCTAAAGGTCTTTATTACCCTACAAAACTTTTCTACCAAATTTTGCCCTACTTGTAATCATGCTTATGACCGTGCGCTGTTCGATTACTTTTAGTCGTTTAAATACCTCCCCGAAATAAAACCAAGGGGTCACCAAGTATTTAATGAAAGTAAATAAAACTGCCAAATAGTTACAAGCAAAGAAAAGGAAACAAAGAAATTAGAGAGTAATATTTTGTACTGTTCTCAATCCTGACTGTGATCTGCTTGCAAGCTCACCCAAACAAATTGCGGATGTGAACAAACTTGGATCATGCAAAGACACAACAACAACAACCATTAACTTCCTTTATTTTATTCCTAGATAGCTGGTAAGCCTAACGTTCTTACAAACTAATAATATGTATTACACAACAGCAGGTCGCTTTGAGATTTTTTTTTTTTAACAAAATGTAAATCTTAATACAACATATGTGCGAATCAGTTTTGGAATTTAATTAGGAAGAGGCACACGTTAATTAACAAGTGCTGGAAATTTTTAATATCTGTTCGGAATTTAACGTTTTACCATTATTTAGTTTAAGGGAACCTCAACTGTAATAAAAATTTGACTGTAACTTACAACTGTATAAGTGAGTCGTTAATTTCAACTCTTTTTCTTTACAAGGGATGGAGTTAAAGTTACCAGAATATCGGCTACTTTCACCTTCTTCCAGCGAGCCACTATCAAAAATCAACATTTTGTGTACGCAACAATGGCCGGAGCAAAATGTTTTCAAAAATTACAAAATTATGTGTCGGGCGGAAAATTTTATAGCAAAAATCGGGCGATTTCTGTTTGCTGGTATCCACTTTCTTTAGCACAGAGTTTCGGTCAAATTGTTGTAACAGTGGAAGTTCCCTTTGAAACCTTTCACTCCCAAATGTAACCAACCAAAGTAAACACATTTAAGAAAAATTTCAGAATTTTTTTGTAAATTGGTGAACAGCAAAGAGTACCATGTGAAAGATTTGCTAAAGAGAACTCATCTAAATGGTAACACCATAGGATTTCATCCACAGACTCAAAAGGTAGAACTACATATAAATAGATAACGCTACGTGAAAGTACAGCTGAAGAGATTTCATTTGAAGTGTAACACCATAGGATTTCATCCACAGACTCAAAGCATACGGTCTGTGGCAATCATTAGTGAGTTCACGCAAACATGGCAAAGGAGGGTCAAGTTTAGTGTAAAGTTTTTTCACACAAAATTATTGTCACGCTTGTCACACAAGGTTTGCCGTCTTCTTTCCTTTCCCGTCCTGTTTCTTAAGTTCGTTAATCTAGGACGCTTACGTCCTAGGTCCTTTCACGCACGCGTTATCGAATGACGCTTGTTCAATTCGGCTAGAGAACGTTAGAGAAATGACCTAACGCGTTTAGGAAACGATAGGGCTCACGCAGTCCTTTGAGGAGAATGTAACCACTCTGTACGAAAACGCCCTAAGAATAAACTGTTAAATTGCATCAAATGCACTTCATGAAAACAAAGTAAAGAAAGTAACGTTAAAATCTCTTCAAGATCTCGAAACTACTTTAAGACTGTGGATTGTTTGGTTACGATATTAAACTTTTTGACCAGGTCATTTTCAAAACTATTATGTTAAGACTATACAAAAGTCGACATACTTCCAAGCTAACGAACACTGACGTTTAAAAAATATCAACACGTTGTCTTGTTTCAGTTAACTTTCTCAGCTGCAATTTTAACGCACACTGAAACAGATAAGCAAATAAAGACAACTCTGGGTTATCATATCTTACGTCTATTTCAGTACGTTTTATTTTCTAAAGCCCAAAATGGAAACCAGAGATTGAAATGATTAATATATTTTTTTAAGAAACGAGATCATCTCGAGACAGCTTAGTCCAAGGACAACAAATCTGACTGGAAAGCATGTCGTTATGCGGAGATGGTATATATTTTTGATCCGTTTTTAACCTCAAATTCGCGGTAAAAATTCGCCATGTTACCACAGAAAATGACCGTGACGTTGTACTGGTGTTAAATGACCACAAGAATGAAGGAAACAAATGACGTATAACAGTTTACACGTAACACTAAAGTTGCTAGATTTTCACTTTGCCACTATTTCCAAAGCTAATTCTAGTGTTTTTGGTTTTTAAAAACTGTTCACAAATGAGAGCGGAGAACTTCTTGTTGTAATCTCATTTCTTGTATTATAAGAGCCCTAATTAATAAAGAGTCTCATTTGCCTTCATTGTCACGTTGCTAGCTTACAATCATATTACTGATGATTTGCCCAAAAAGCTATGGTACTCTCCCGATTAACTTTGATCAATGTTTTCTACCCCACGAGATGAACAGAACAACTACGATTTTAAAACTGACTGGTTAGTCTGTGTATTTCAAAGCTCACCGGTGACCGGCCCGTGGCTCTTCTGACGCTTTCAATGTCTCACGACTTCATGTATTGATACCAGATGTTAAACCTTCTTCATCAGCCGCTGAATTTTCTGATTCATCTCCATCACTGTCTTCACTGCGGTCAGAGGGATACATAAAATCCATCTCTTCCACTAGTTTTGAAGTGTCCCTTTCCTCAGCGATCTGTTCAACACCAGAGCAAACTGCTCCAGAGAGTGTTGACACATTTTGCTCTCTCCTCATTTTTTCCGGCTGTAATTGAAATGACGGAATCTCAGATTTTAATCCGCAAAGTTTCACTTCGTAGAATCGCCCAAAGGAAGTACAACCAACTACTTTGTTTTCCTTAGGGGACACCGTCATGCAAGTAATGTTTCCACGCTCTAGTGGAATTCTTATAAACGAAATGGCTGTCCGCTCAAGTAAGTCCCACAAGAACACAGCACCATCAGTACCATACGAAATTATATAACGATTCTCTTTCAAAAACCGACAAAACTCAATTTTGCCTAAATGGGCGCGAGGTAGCTTCAAAATGGGGCGATCAAGCGAATAGAGTAGGATTCTATCCACCATGCAGCAAGCTAGTAGATTGTTTTTGGGTGACACCGTGCAGTAGGTGATCTTGTCCGCTGCACTGTAGAGCAAGCTGATAGCCTGTCTTTTTACCAGACACCATGGACTCATCGCAGAATCCCAGATCTCAATGTATGGTCCAGTGCACAAAACTACTCTAGCATCTTCTGTAATGCAGCAGCAAAAATCCTCAGAAACAACAGGCGGGTAAAATGATCCTAAAGTTTCTCTCTTTTTAACGTCCCACACGAAAAAAGGACCATTCCTGATACAGAAAAGAAGGAAGGCACTGTTAGCCGAGAATGTAAGCTGAAGGACACTGAAATCGTAGTCAGCTTCAAAAACTGTACAAACAAACCTACAACAGTCTTGTCCGATTGTATCGTGCAACGTTATCTTGGTGCCATGGTGAGCGGCAATCAGTTTTCCGTCCGAAGAAAATGCGCATTTTTCCACCGGCCAAGAGCCAAGCGAACCAAAGTTTAAACCTTCAGAATAGAGGGTGTAAGTACATCGATTGCCTGTTGTTTGAAATGACTTAACTGATGAGTCCACGAAAAGCGCAAGGAAATTGTCATCTGAAACGAAGTTTACTTGCGTTGGTTTTTCCACTTGTAGCGGAATGAGAAAATGCTGCAAAAACTCACAAGGAAAGTCTTTCAAAAAGACAGTTTTACCCTCGTCATTGGCCAGAAAACGATAGCCAACTTGACCCTCAGCAATAAAGAATAAGGGGCTAACTCCGGAGATGCTTCGTAGAATGGTACCCGATTGGAGATACAGGGCGTGAAGTGTGTTGAAGACACTCAAATACACGAAAAAAAAGTGGTCATTTGTGAAACCAAATTGGGAGACCTCCTTGATGACGTAATCTGGGTTTTGGGAATGTTGCTGCTTATCTTGTCTTCCACGAAACAAAAAGACCGTTTCCTTATCATGACCAACTGCAGGTTTGGCCACCCACACCTCTCCTAGTGAGAAGCAAGGTATACTGTCAAGAAAAAATAGTTTCTTGAATTCATCAGGGAGATTTCCAAGTTCTGACGCTATCGTCAATGAAACTGTCGATAAGACTGATGCCTCTTCTATTGCTTCATAAGTGTCTTCGTTGCATAAGTCGGTAAATGTGTAAGTCGATAATACTGACGTTTTCGCTATTGCCTCTCCTATAGCATCATCGTCGGGTAAGACGAGCGTGAAAGGTTCAAAATGTTGAACTAGAACGTGTTCAAGGTCCAAGTAGTCCAACATGGGGGAGCTGTATAGAACAGTAGTGGTGGCTGTCTGGAGACAGAGTGCACACAAACGGAACTCATGAGTCACATAAAGAACTACATCGTCCTCGACGGGAGCATAGAGTTTGATCTCTTCAATGAAGCATTTCAAGTTTTGGCGAATGACGCCACTTTCATCCATTGTAAAGCTAACTGTTCCATCAGGACCAGGCTGATACCATTTGAATGGAGTACGTAGAAAACTGGACAGAGGAAAATAGAGTTTCGGCAATATACTTGAACGGAAAAGAAGGTGATGACAAATAGTGCTTAGTAAAGCAATATTGCAGAGTGACAGAGCTTTACCGATGCCGGTAAACAGTGTGCCACATGTCTCGAATGCTGTGCCTAGGTGACAAAAATGAATAAATGGGCTCACCTCAACACCGGAAGATAAGGCTAGATTAAGCACAGGTTTACCCGTTTGCATATCCAAAACTTGATATTTAAATATCTCAGAGTAGTGGTCAATAACAAACTGACGAACTTCTTCCAAGGTTAATGCTTCATATCCTTCTGCTGTTTTACAGCTCTCACAATTTGGAACCAGAAACGTTCCATCTCCTCTATTAAGTTGTACCTTTTCCAAAACTGAACACCATTCTTCGCGTTCCATTTGGCTGAGAAGATTTAACAACGGCCTCATTGCTGTAATGCGCGAATCTTGATAGGCTGCTAATTGGGGGTATTTTCTTGTCACTTTCAGCTTGTCAGGAAAGCATCGACATAAGGGTTCTCTTTCTCGGCTCTGTGCAATTTCCAACTTGGCCCACAAACAAAGGTGATTTAAAAGGCACAAACAGCACTTGGGATTAGGTAAACCGTTACACTTCACCACGATGTGTTGTCGATCAAGGGTAAACGAACACCAGTCAAATGAAAGATGAACTGTCTGTAATGGGAAATAAGTGTCAATAACTCCTCGCTCTACTGAAAACGCTTTATCAACTTTTCCAGCGAACACAAAATTACCACAGCAAGAAAATGCCAGACGTTGTACGTCTGCCAATTCCTTTGCTTCGACTGGGCCAACCAACCTTTCAAGGGAGCATGAATTGTACAACGAAGTGCATCCGCCTTTGGCTTCGGCCAATAACGTCCTATCAGGAGAAAAAGCGAAGCTACTCCTGCCCTTGTTACGAGTGGCTTCAGGAGCAGGGAAAGGAAGCCAACTCCACTCCATCCAAGTGGTGGACACTCCATCGGGAATTGTCATGTTTAATTTGACAGCTTTGGACGCCATTCGCAGGCAGGAAGGCAGAAGATGTGGACATTCCAGAAGAGTATGGATATTTCTTTCCAGCGCCCTGCAAATTTCTTGCAGAATTTCCTTTTCAGTATCATCAAGAGTCTGTGAGCGAGCAGAAAGCTTGAGATCACCAATCACGGTATAAACTTCAATCCGGCTTTTCTGTATTCTCTGCTGGATCAGCTGGTAGCTTGTCAAGAAGTTGTAAACGATCTTCATTGAATCTGCGTCATCGTAACCACACAAAACACGAATGCCAACATGCAAGATATAGTCTAGTAAATCTTTTTCGACAGAAGGATGTTTCTCCGATGACACGTCGATCAAAGAGGGAAGAAATTCCAGAACAATTTTTTTCAAGTACTCCCTTGCTTCTGTACTGTTGACAAAAAATCGCCGAGCTTTGTTCCTGTCGGTCAGCCAGGCTGGGACTAAGTTGTGAAGAAAGGCAAAGGTCAGATCAGACGCTCGGTGTACCAAAAATATTGAAAAAGTGTCAATAACTTCTTGTTCGTCCAGGCGCAATTTTTCTTTCCTTAGAAGGAATGAAATAAATGACCGCGGAAGAGGAGAAGGAGAAGCTACAAGACAGCCGAACAAAGTTCCGAAGAGATCTACTCCCACTTTATCAAAAATCCGCTTGAAATTGTCGTGAAAAAAATCATCAATGTCCCCTGGAAAAATTTCAGTCAGTTCACCAACGCTACCTGAACATACTGAATTACTTAGCACTTTGACCATGAAGAAAGCGTACAAGAACAGTCCATTGCACTTCTTTGTTACGTCTTCAACAGTGAAGGGGAGACGGGAGAAATCGACTCTTTTTTCCAAAAATCGCTTTATGTCCTGTTCGTGCTGCTGATAAACATTAAGATGTTTGCCGTATCCTGCGCATATTTTAACGCACGGGTTGTGATTTTTCAGAGTGGACTGCACGGTATCTTCAGGGCGACTGGTGATAAAAAACAAAAGCCACTTTGGAAGCCGGGGAAAACGGTTCATAACCAGATCAAGAAAATCGTCCCTGGACTTGTACTTTGTCTCATCTAGAGCGTCAATTATGACTAATTTTCTTTGTTCACTAAGCGAGCACTTACCTAAAGGTTCATGTAACAGTTTTGTAAACAATCCAGAGATAGTTAGTTTACTATTTGCTAATGCCACTCTTATACCACCCTCCCCTCCCACTATATTACTGTATTGAACACTACATTTACAAAGTTGACAAGCTATAGTACCTAGAAGAATTCTGGGATCATTTCTCGTCTCATCTTTGTAGTGACAAAAGTAAGCAGCGCCTAAGTACCCAGCATCCTGTGCTCGCTTTGCCAGGGCTCCTGCTATCACACTTTTGCCAACTGCCGCATCACCCAGGAGAACATAAGCTCTTGAGTCACCAGGAGCATGGCACCAACTGATAATATCTGCAAATAGCCACTCTCTCGTGTCTGGATCGTGTCGCTCGGCAAAAAAGGCGATATCGGCTTCAAAATTGGAAATTTCTACGGACAAAAAAGGAAGAAAAACAAAGTGCTTAGATGAAGAAAGCTGAATTACATTTCAGTGGTCCACATTTCCTTACTTAATCGAGTAAAAACGTTTCTATTAGACTTCCAATTTTTCTTAGGAACAAGCAAAAGGAACAGTTCTACGTTAACAGCTTGGTCTTTACTACAAATCCATTATAACACATGAATTACCCAGAGATTGAACTTTATTATGATATCTTTTTCGCGATCCGAATGAATATCACGTGACAATGACGTCACAATTGTTTTTGTTCCTCTTTGAATTTCAGCCCTACGTCGTATTTTCTCTGGATATGTACTAGGCTACGTTTTCTTTGGTGCTTGCCTTCTACTCCGCGAAGTTTCACAAAAATCTATATGTGAGGAATCAGTAAAGATAAGCTATTTACTGGATGTTTCTGGAAAGATTTTACTACTTATTTGTTTTAAAAATGTCTCTTTCACATCACTAACACCAAACCGCTCGAGACACCTACACATGTGCGATTTCGAAAAACAGAAATTTATATCTAAACGGATGTTTGAAAACGTTATCGTCAAACGGACCGTTCTGTGTCCAAAGGTTTTTAAAGAAGCCATTATAAAAAGTAACAGTGCAACGATTGCTTTTTCTCTTTTCCTCCTCGCTCTTTCTTAGTCTCCCATCTTTTTCCTTGATTTGCAGCTTATCGAGCCCAAAAAACCTGACTTTTGACTTCTTTTAACCCAAATGACTGCACATTTTGATAGGTTGGTTTTCGAAAAAATGGGCTAGATATATCAAAATTCGTAGATAGAAATTGTCAGAGCTGCAATTGATCAGTGTACTATAGAATCGCGTAAATTCATTGTTATCCATCGAACTGAGTTGTCTATAACGTTTGCACAAAATTGAGTAAATGTTGAGGTTTTAAAAGTTTTTTAAAGTTGAAGTCTTTTAGTCATTTAATGGAAAGACCACGTCACGTTTTGCTCAAAAGTGGATTTATTTCGAATATTAATTTCGGTTATTATAAAGAATTTTTAAGCTTTAAACGTAGGTTTGCATTATCACCTTTTGTATTTTGGATACATTTTCCAATATCATCCAATCAAACATTACTGGATTAAACAAAAATAAACAGAAGTAAAAGTTTGAAAGATAATAAGAATAATTCTATTTACCAAAACTGACTTGAGGAAGAGATCTAAGTTGCTCTTCCACTTGTGTTACTCGCTGCTGTACAAAATCATGGTCTGACTTTAGTGACTTGACCTTTTCTCCCATAGCACTCTGTTCATCTTGAATGGTTTCCATGCTGCGTTTTAACCCTTTATTTTGCTTCTCAACAGCTGAGATGCGTTCTCCCAGTTTCTTCAGATCACCAGTGACATCTTGCAGTGCAATGTCTACTGTCTCCCTGTCGCAATCCACTCCAAACGCCATATTGTCGACATCAGCTATCAGCTTATGAACATGCTGTTGTACCATCTGTAATAACACTGCGTCCACAGAAGGATTCATACAAAGCGACGGTCCTTGGCAAACAAGAAAAAGTAGAAGTTTAACTACATTACGATTCATTACTAATTATACTGCACGTAATGTCTACCATTGTTTTCATTGAGAAGCTTTATTTTAACTCAAACTGCAGATTTAGGCTGTGTTCACACCATACTGGAGAACTTTTCCTATCGCCACGAAAAGTTATCCTATACAGTGTGAACAGCAACGACCCGGGGCGGCACAAGTCTTTGAATATTTACTTCCGTCTCAGTGGGTTTCAGGCCTCGCTCCTACTTATGTATTTCCGCCACGGGCCAAGGGCCAAGCACGTGTTCACACTGCAACAAACAATAGCAGCAAACTATCCGATATGTGACGCTCCTTCGAGATCGGCGCGGCGCAGCTTCGTTCCGTCACAGAAATCGCGCGGAAGTGACGGTTCTTATGTGTGAACAGAAGCCGCTATCGGGTATGGTTTTCCTACCGGCGCAAAAGTTATCCAGTATAGCGAAACAGCCTTAGTAGAAATTCGCAACGACGACGACGTTAGGAGGTCGGAGATCGGAGGTCGTAAACACACGACGGCGAGTTTTCGTTTCATTTTCAAAACCTGAGTGACAAAAGTGACATTTTTGCTGCCGTCGCCTTCGTCAAAGCTGAAGTTCACTATGTGTTTACTACAGGTTATTTAAGTATGTCCTGTCAAACAATTTGATTATAGTGAAAAGTGGCAGAACATTTTGGTTCACATGTGTAGATAAAAGGAGTTAATAGTCACTTGTAATTGTGCTGTACTTTTTGCTTCAGAGTTTCTGTATGGATTTTGCTTGGAAAGAGTTGATGTTCCAGTAACTGTTATGTTACAATATTTTGCGCTTTTGATAGCAAGATAATAATATCGTTTGCTTAAAATAGCTGATGCCTTGTCACCTTGGCTAAAAACAACAACAAAAAAGAAAACCAAACAAAAACAAATGACCCATTAATCCATTCGCCACTAAATCGCCCGTGCGGATCCACGCCCCTTCTACCGCTTGTGACGTCATCAGTTTTAACGGTCAAGGAAAACTTTGTCATCTGACTTGTGTATGGGGAAAAGATCTTTCAAACCATGCCGGAATGAGCATGATTCAGTAGAGAAGACCGCAGAAAAAGGCAAAAAAACATGGAACGTTGACACAAAAATTCCCATGAAATCTTGTTCCACTTCCCACCTACACTTCCTTCCATCTAAAGCTAAGATCCTAAAAGCTTTCTTAAAACTTTTCCCACCATAATGAAGCCTAGTAGGGATGAAGCCAAGCAGGGATGTTCCCATGGATATTG